AGCTAATATTTACTTCTAAATTTTGATCTTTTTTCTAACCTATGTATAACCTAATATTTTAATATTTTATTTAATTTTATAAATACGATTTTATTTACCTATCAATTTTATATTTAATAATTTTTAATTTTTTCTTTAATTAAATGTATCACTTTATTTTATCAGTACATTTTCCAATATTCCACTCACGTCCAATCCAAACAAGTCGCGCATTTGTCTAAAATGAATTGGCACAGCTATCTGCAATGATAATAATAAATGAGATTAATTACTTCTGGAGACTCGGCTTCTGCATGTCTCACTTGTTATTGTTGTTTTGTCGTAGAAAAATGTCGATTCTAGAATCCGAATCTCAGATAGAAATGGAAATATGGAAATGTAATGAGCATTCTACGTAAATATATAATAGCTGAATACACAAGCTTAATGCATGTAAACGCATAAATGTACGAAGTCATTCTTTGATACGTACATAAATATTTCCAATTGCAATCCCTTGCTAATATCACATTGGTATGCATATGTTCGATATTGTCGCAGTCATATCTCTCCATTGTACGAGAACTCTCGTAATCGAAGTAAGAACATATAGCTAATGATTAGCGTACAACTAATGATTACAATTTTTTTTATGGCATAATGCATTTTCTTATATGTATTTTATGAATATATGATGTAAAAATTTAATTATGAAGATGAAATTATGATAGTGCAGTTTCATGCAAATTTTTTTAATGAATAATTTTTTATTATATGCGTGACAAAAAATTATTGGCGCGTTTCATCCCGCAGAGCAAAAATATCCAAAATACACATACATACACAGAGATATCTTAAAGGACACATGCAGTGACGTTTAATCTTTATCAAACTGGTATAGTACATGCTTTGACTACATAACACACTTTACTTAACAGACTTTACATAACACACGTAGATTTGCTATAGACTTCTTTTATTATTAGCAAATATTATTAATGATAAAAAAAATGCTTTATCATTAATATTCCGGTTATTAAAGACTATCAAATAGCCGACAAATATCTTTTGTAGGTAACACTGGAACAGAAAACGGCAAAGAGGATAAAAAAGAGAAAAAAAGTGAAGAAAAAAGTCTTTTACAATCGTCGATCCGTCGTCATCTCGCAGTGCTCGCCCCATTGGCAGTGCTATCAATATTTTGCAAGTTTATTTCAATTCCACGCGGTGAACACACAGCTAAACGGATTTTGACAATTCATTTATCGTTTGATCTACTCGCGCATTTCAATTATATGTTTACTCTTTGTCGACGGCATTCGCCTTCCTATTGAGCCGGCGCGCACATCGACGAGCCGCGTAAAGTCGTGGGAACGGATGCGGTATGGCACAATTGAATTAATCTGGTTCGAACAACGCGACCTTCGAAATGAAACAGGAAATCACGTTATCGCACGTGGTGCCACCGCGTGCCGTAAGCATGCGCCGTAGAACAAGCGGCTGTCATTAGTTATTATTGTTCGGTCGTGATTAGCAACAAAATCATGTTGTTGCTGAATATGTTATCGCCTAGGAGATTGTTGCGGCCATTCATAGTGAAGAACGTGGAGAACGTGGACATGAACAGGGTCTGCTGAAAGAACTGCAGTAGTTTCGAAAAGCGCTATTTTATTTGGTATCCTTTCCGGCGTTTAATTATGAACTTGTAATTAATCGAATCAAATTAGTTTTTAAGGTACTAAATTATTGATTATTACTCATAATCAAGTATTGATCGAGTTCTTGTATTATCTTTTTATTTTATATATCGACATGAAAGAAAGAAATATAAAAAATATATTTTATCTTGTTGTTGCATCCAGCAACCAGAGCTTGCTACATTTTTACCATGTCCGTTAATATAATTGGAAAGAAAGCTTCACGCTGAATCATCCATGGTAAGGTGGAGTGCCAAGTTGCGCCTTCTTTCGAGATTCATCCGGTCGGAGATTTGAATCAGTTTTGCCTGCTCGAGACGAAGAGTCCGCCTTAATTCCTGCAGCTTCCATCCCGCTTCAATCTGCTTCTCGGCTATTTGCTTCTGCAAGGCGGCGATCCGTCGATTTAAAGCATCGTAATCCGCCCGCAGCGGATCGCCACCGTCTCGATTAATCGCTGATCGATCGCAGACCGCAGGACTGCTATCTTGCTGCACCATATTTGAAGTTAACAGACAGATTTTATCGTGTAGTTCGGCCAGTTGTGTCAGCGTCAAAGACTGAAAGCGGTAAATGCAAACATTTCATATCAGTAAGCGAGTTTATTCTGATAACAAGTATACTTTAATTTATTTATTGTAACTAGAAAAGGCGTGAGATATAAGTCATAAATAAACGCGTGATGAAAGATATTTACGTGTTCATGCAAATTGATCCGCATGAACACGTAAATATTTTTGCGTTTGGTTTTTATTTGCGACATGCGCTCTTTTAGTATCTCCTTTTTTGTCATTTATTTACTTTTGAGTTTAACAAAGTAAAATTTATTCCGAGAATCTCAGTTATAAATCTCAACAGTTATCTTATTTCTTGAGTTATATTATATCTAGGCAAGAACGTATATATATTTTACATTAATTTTTAAAAAATCGTTTTTAATTTATAGTACTTTAATTTTTCTTTCTTTCTGTATTAATTTTTTAAATATAGACACACATGTTCCGACTTGAAATAATGTCTATTAATAATTTTTAATAATAACGTTTTATTTAATAATAATAATAATTTTAAATTAAAGTGCAATACAATAATCATATAATAATAAATAAAATTTATTTATAAATAAAAATGATAAATTTTGTTTACACGTAAAATATAAATAAATTAAACATGCATCAAACTGACTCCCATTTACGTCAAAAGAAGTCACGTGAGCTTACGGATTAATAGATACAAAAAAGCGAACGCGATCGTCAAAATGAACTCTTATCACCGCATGTGCATACCTTCAACCAAGATTCAGGATCAAAAGCTGCAAGCTCATCGCCATTATTCACATCTGCAACCTTAGTAACTTCCACACCGAGCTCCTGAAAATGATTTATTTTCAAACGTCAATATACAAGAATCGAAAAATTCAAATTATCCATCGGACAAATTAGGGTCGCATACTAGACCAAATGTTATCTCTTATTGACCGTACCGATAATTGCTTTATGTAATTCTTATTATCACTTCTGCATTCATCAAGCAGTTTCAGCAACTTATCGATATTTTGCACTTCGATTTCCGCCAGATAAATGTTCTCGGACAGCTTTTGTGACTCTTTTAATAACTCGATGACGGACGGTACGGTCCAGCGCTTGATTTCGAAATCGTCGTCCCACGTCGTCGCCATCGCGGGTCTCGAGGGAATTTTACCGTCCACAAATTGTATATAATCACGTACGCGTTGCACGGCTATTGTATTGCGAGAACAAATGCGAACCAACTTGCAGAAATTATGTAATCAGAGTTTGTTCGTGTCACTTTCTATGTATCTCAAAATTAGGTACTGTTAACTTCCTGCGAAACTGACACACGGCTTTTAACATCGGTTTAACATCATGTAATTAATGGAATATAACAATTTGCAAAATGTTGCTTGCGAGTGTCGCAAGCTTATGGAAATGCTTAACTTATTAAGATATTAGCCGGACTAATTACAGTCTACATGAATAGGCAAATCCGCGCATTTTCTGCGCCGCGATAAAAACTGTCGGAGTGACAAAACAGACAGAAAGTTTTTATGCAAGTTTTACCGTCATATTGCTTTTCAATTTGCTTCTTTAGTAATTCATTCGCCTTAACGAAGTCGCCGCATTCATCCGGTTTAATCACGCCAGCCTCTGGAATTACAAAGATGTCTTTCCTTTAATACGAACGCGACGGATAAAATTCAATTCGGTGAGAAAAAAATTCGCCTAAAAGTACAAATGAATGAAACGCATTACGTTACTAAATTATATTGAGTGACTTAAATATTCATGTAATAAAAAATAATGAGTACTTAAATGTTAATGCTTTCCTAATGTTTTGAAAGAAAGTGTACAAACCTACGATTGGAGAAAACGATCTCAACAATTCGATCTTTTCATTCAAATTATTAACTTCATCGTTCAAACGCTTTATCTCCACTTGACACTGATCTAATTTGGACTTGAGCTTTAAATTTTCAATTTTCAGCGCATTATTTTCAACAAACAGTTTTCGGATTTGCTCTTTTGACCCATTAACTTTTTCATCGATTTCCTCGGGATAAACCTTTATTTCATTTTGCTGCATTTTCAGTTGACCTAGTTCTAATTCGAGACCTTCATTGATCATTTTTAATTTATTATTCTCTTCCGTCGCGTGTCTTAAATCCTCTCTCGCCTTGTCTATCTCGAGCATCAATGTCTTCAATTCATTTTGAAATCTGTCGATATCGTCCACATCCTTTATAGAATCACCTTTCAATTTTTCAATATTCTCTTTTAATTTATTGATCTCATTTTGCGCCCTTTTTAGGTCATCCCGCAATTCCTTATTTTCTGTCATTAACTTTTCTAAATCCAGCCGTCCTTTATCAGGCTCCGCCTTTACTCTCGGCAAATCATCTCTCAATTTGCCGTTTTCAATTTCCGACTTTTCGAAATCTTCCCTTGGAGGAGCAAGCGATCGATCCTTCAAAGTAGTCAATTCGATCGTTAGTCGTTCGTTGTCCGCTCGGCATCTATTCAAATCGTCTTGTAAATAGATCAAAGTATCTTTTAAGGTAGCCAATTCCTGTAAGGCGGCGTTCTTATCTGATTTCTCTGCGTACAAATCGTTAGTTAAGTCATCAAGCTGGACGCGTGCGTTATCAGCACGCGCCTTTAAAGTCGCAGCTTCAGCTTTCATATTGTTCACTTCCTTTTCGAACTGCTCTTTTTCATTCGACAAGTCAACAAGCTGTCTATCCAGAAATTTAATCTTCGTTTCGGCATTGCCGAGTACTGTCTTCAATTCATCGATCTCTTTCTTTAACTTGCTGTTCTCATTCTCGGACTTATCGAGGTCATTCCTCGCCATTGTTAAATTCAACTTGATAGAATCGAGTTCGGCTGCTATTTTAATATTTTCAGTTCTCAGAGTGCCATTTTCGTTTGCCGATGCAGCATATTGTTTATTCACATCGTTTAGTTTATTCTTCAAATTCTCATTTTCTACACGTGTCCCATCCAATTCCGCTTTTAGATCCGTTAATTCATCGCTCAAAACGATCGCCTTTTTCTCAATAGCTTCCTTCGCAGCTTTATCCGATGCAGCTTCTTTATCTAACTCATTCACTTCCACTCGTAAAGCGTCTAACTCACTCATAAGTGCTTTCTTCTCTTCGAGCAACGCGGCTACATGATGTTGCAAAGCGCTTACTTTATTCTGTGCGTCGATCGACGTTTTCTTTAAATCCTCCACTTCACTGTTTAACTTGCCGTTCGTTAATTCAAGCGCACCAAAATTTTCCTGCAGCTTTTCCAACTCTGCTCTTAATCTATCGTTTTCCGATTGGCTAGTAGATAATTCCAATCTAATTTTTTCTGATAATGCCTGTTCGGCTACCAGACTAGACTTCAGACCTTTAATTTCAGCTTTCTGTTCATCGCCCTCGCTTTTCAGTTTGCCAAATTCTTCCTCGAATTTCTGTCTTTCTTCTTTTAAATTCGTATTTTTTATTTTCAAATCGTCAACCTCGGATATCAATTTGTTTGATTTATATTTTAATTTATTATTCTCGTCTGTTAATATATTTGTTTCAGATTTTAATGTGTCATTCTCTGTTCTTAAAGCTAATATTTCATCTTTCGTGTTTTCCACTTTTATTTTTAATGTTAATACTTGATGCGACAAATTTTCCTCTTTATCTCTCATCTTATCATTTTCCGTTCTTAATTTACTCAATTCGGATTTTAATATTTCAAGTTCTTCTCGCAAAGCGACGACTTCATCCTCTGCTTTCGTTAGTTTCTCCACAACTGCTTCTTTAGCAGATTTTTCGGCAACTGAAGACTGCTTTAGTTTTTCTAACAGATTTTTCAGCTCTGCTACTTCTTCCTTGAACTTAATCTTCTCATTTCTAAGATTCGTTATCTCCTTCTCTAATGCTTGATGCTCAACCTATGAATTTCAATGTGATTATTATCAAAGGCACAAGAGGTTACAAGAGGAATACGTAATAATTATCTCTACCTTGCAGACATTTAAGGCTTCCTTTGTCTTTTCATTCTCGACAGATAACTTATCTATGTCCATTTTAAGCTTGAAATTTTCCAACTTCCAATATTCAATATCTTCTTCCGCTTTAGATAATTGCGATTGAAGATCAGATATGGCCGGTTTTAAATTATTAATCTCGCTCGTCATCTCATCGTTCGCGACCCTCAGGCGCAACGATTCCTCGCCCAGATTTAACAACTCCTTCTTGAGGACGTCTTTCTCTTCTTTTAAAGCATGATTTTGCAGCTTCATCTCATCGATCTTTGAAATCAAATTTTTCATCTCGCTCTTCAACGCCGCTAATTCCTCCTGAATGTCTCGTTTAGCAGTAGTTTCTGCACTTAGATCTAGTTTTACTCTGTTGATCTCGTTTTGCAAAGAGTTGAACTCGTTCTGCACCTTGTCCTTATCGATCTGTAAACCAGCAATCTGAGCTTGGAGAAATTTAACCCGATCCTCAGCGACGTTGAGTTGTCCTCTTAATATATTTACTTCGTCCGTCGATAAATTTATTTGTTCCGTCAATTTGTCTAATTTCACCTTTAGCTTATCATTTTCGTCTTTATAGTTATTCCTCTCCGCCTTAATATCTTTGTTCTCCGCTTCTGTTCGGTGAACATCTGCCCTTAGCTGTTCATTTGTAACTTTCGCCTCTTTCAGTTCATTATTTAACCCAGCTGTTTCTTGCCGCAAATCTGCAACTTCGTTATTTGCCCTTGTCAATTTGTTACTTGTATTATCCACCTCCTTTTTCAGAGTTTCTATTTCGGACAATAATTTTGTTAGTTCTTCTTTCTCATCATCGACCTCTTGTAATAATTTTCTGTTCTCCGACTTCAACTTTGCCATTTCGCTCTGCAAAGTATTGAAGTCCTTGAATAGCTTGTTATTATTTACATTAGCCTTTTCCAATTCTTCTGTAAGAAGTCTATTGTCGAGTTTAAATTTGTTCAATTGTTTCTCTGCGTCGTCTAACGCTACATTTGTCTTAGATAAGTCGTCCTTAAGAAAACTATTCTCGGATTTCAAATTGTCTCTTTCAGCTGTCAGATTGTCCTTTTCGGTTTGAACAACAGTACTTTCGTTCTTTAATTTATCGTTTTCAGTCTTTAATCTGTCCATTTCTTGTAGCAACCTATCGAGACCGTCTTTTAACGCAATGTCTTCCGATTTTAACCGATCCCTTTCCGTTGCTTGTTTCTCTAATTTATCTCTTAAATCCTTATTCTCAAATAATAATTGATCTATTTCCGCCTTAATATCATTATTTTCCTTTCTCGAAGATTCCAGTTCCTTAATCATGTTATCAAGATTGTTTTTCAAAGCAACGTTTTCTTCTTTAAGTTCGTTAGTCTCCAATTTAGCATTTTCCAATGTCTCCTTCAAGAATTCATTTTCAGCCTCGAGACTATGCAAATCGCCCCTCGTGCCCCCTAGCTCTTTTTGCATCACTTGAAATTTTTCTTCTCCGAGACGCAGGTCAACGTTCAACTTATCGATCTCGTTCTTCAACTCATTATTTTCCTCCGTTATTCTCTTCAGCTCTTCTCGCGTTTTTCGAATTTCCCTATCTAACAAAGCATTATTATTCTTTAATTCGTCGCATTTGGCTTTCGCTGTCTCGACGTGCAGCTTCAGAGATTCGTTTTCGTCGCTAAGTTTAACTATTTGACTATCCTTCTGGTACACCACATCCCGTATCTCCCCCAACTCATTGAGAAGTTCCTTTTTCTCTGTCTCAAGATTATACAGTTGGGATCTCATATCTTCGATCTCGCTCTGCAACTTACTCATGCCCAGCACAGCCAGTTCCGACTGCCGCAGGCTCTCAAGAAGCTCCGTAATCTGCGAACAAACACCCAATTGTGAGTACCGCCGCAGAGTTGGACAAGTATAAACATTCCCCTAGCATTTCGACAAAACGCGAGTCTACGTGTCGGTATAAAACTCAGGACTTTTAACATATCGCGTAACGCGCAATCGAGCATTTAGACACGCGGAGAAATAAAGAGAGATGCCTTATCGTCAGGTTTCTCAGGTTCTTCAGGTTCTTCAGGTTCTTTAGGTTCTTCAGGTTCCTCTTTTATTTCCTCGATCTTCTTTATCTCATCCATCATAACCGCCTGCCTGACGATCGTCCGATCGAGATCTAACGTCGCCGCGGCAGTGACGGCTCTCTGTTGCTCGAGTTCGCTTCGTAGTGTCTCCGCATAAGCCGTCTTCTCATCCAGATGCGTTTTTAATTCGGCCAGAAGCGTTTCGCAGTTTCGAAGCTGACTTAACAATGCCGACATGTCTGCTTCCTCCTCGTCCGCCGGTAGAGGAATCACACCCTCCTCGATCTCTCTCATCGAACGACGAATTTGCATGAGCTCAGCTTGCAGGCGCTCGTTCTCCGTTCGCAGATCTTCGCAGCTCTTTGATAGATCCGATGTCTGCATTGATCTCTCGACAACCACGGACACCTGTTGATCGGCCTTCTGACCATCTTTCATTAACTCACGAAGCTTCGCCCTCAAACGATTTAATGCCGCACAGGAAGTATCCTCCTCCGCTTCCGCCAGTTTCAGCTTCAGATGCGATATCGTATCTCGCATTCTGTCGACGGTTATATCAACACATAATTATATTGGCGTACCATAATTTAACGAAGATAGATGATTTTCGCGGAAATATCGCGACCAGTGGACTGTGATTAATCTCCTTCTAAAGCCGCACAACTTTACGAGATATGAAACAAGAAGCTTTTACCATTATGACCATTTCCGAACGATTAATTTGTTAGTTTTACAGGCATTTTTTTTACATTCTCCTTCCGCTTGTTATTCAAGTATTGCTCATTAAGGGAGTATGCAGGAGAAGAGAGAGAGAGAGAGAGAGAGAGAGAGAGAGAGAAGAAAAGACTCGACTATCAGAAATTTCATAGTCAATAGACATTACGTACTGTTTTTTTTCGGCGGCGAAACGATCTCTCAGCGCAGCTATTTTCTCCCTCACGTATTTAACTTTTTTGCACGGATCGTCGCAGCAATCTCGTTCGGCGAGGCTCTCTCCGAGGTTGCGAACTTTTTCCGCTAGTTCCTCATTTGCATTCTGCAGCCTTTCGTTTTCCTCGCGGTAATGCACGAGCAAGGGATCAGGGCCCAATACCCCGTCGGGTTTCACACCTATATGGAAATTATTTGACCGGTCGAAATATATTCGGTATATATTCTCTCTCTCTTTTATATAACTAAGAAAATACGGGTGAGCCATGCATATCGACAAAACTATACAAACTTGGACTATTGCAAAGTATCGAAAATAAAATTGATAAAATAACTAAATTCATCCGCCGATTTCGTTTAATGTTTAATAACCGAAATATTTATATCAATCATGAAATATTCAGAAATTCAAAAAAATTAATAGGATATATTTCTGGATCGCTACATAAATAGAACCTGCGGCGCATCGAAAAAAAGCAAAAACCGCGCTGAAATTATTCTTCGTATAACGGCTCTTTTTTGCAAAACTCATTTTGTAAGGGAACAAAGACGGGGGCGGGGGTGGGGGGAGAGAAGTTCAGCTGAAATGGAACATCGATACCGAATGATCGTAGAGCTTGTTTCAGAGACCTATTTTCGCTCTCGAGCTGCAGCCGTTCCATGCGCCACTTCTTCATCTGGCACTTCATTACCGTTAGTTTTCGCAGAGCGAACGGCAGATCGTAGATCTCCGATTCCTTCGAGTTGTCGCTGAAAGGGTTGTAATCGCAGCAACAGCATGGTTCGTGCGGCGGCGGCTCGATTGGTCTCGGCGGTGGCCGCGGTGCATGACATCCGCATGAACAAAACGGCGGTGCATATCGATCGTCCATGACCTGGTACAATTTTGAGGGCCACCTCTTGGGGGTTTAACCTCTTTGCATGGTGTACGTTCGGCGACAACGCGAATCTATTCCTGAAAATATCCCGCCAGTCACCACGATGCTTTCGCAACGGTGCGTATCGCGTAAAAAAATATAAAAGTTACTTGATATTCAGCACTAATGTACTTTCCTATTGTACTTCATTAACATTATCGGGGTGAAAAACAAGTTATTTACGGCACGGGTCAATTCATAGATAACCCGCGGCGATGAAACGCGCTATCATTATTCGCAAAAGAAGCATCGCCGGGATAAAATCTTTTTATGCGCGGAGGTTGCGTGGAAAACTCGCGAAACGTCAGTCATATTTTTAAAATTATTCCCGCGAGCGAGTTAATCGAGTTCGACGTCAAAATCGATATAACTCGAATTAATAATGCAGATTTCAATTTTGGATAATTCAGTTCGTGAAATTGCGTTTTAAGTGGAATCTTCAGCGATTCGCTTAATAACCGAATTAACTGAATTAAATGTCTCAAATGTCGTCACGATGTCCGGATTCTGTACCGGAGAATTTCGTTCATAATTCGAGAATCCCAACGCGAGATTAGCGGCTGACGACTCACTCGGCAGTTTTTGAATAGAGACGTCAGGGCGCCGCGTATTATTAATCGAGTTTCCCCGTCCGCGCCGGAAAACCGGAAAACCGGAAGTACCGATTACGTACGACCCACATAATTAAGCGGTCGCTATAATTGAATTGCAGCGCAGTATGCCCGGCGAAAGTCCTCGTTAGAGCAGTCTTATTAGGTGTTCCGATATTGAGGGGCCGGCGCAGCGATACTGAACGCTTCTTAAGTTTCGAGAGTTTCGAGAGCACTTGGACCACAGTTCGGTTCTGTTCGAGAACTTATCGAGAGGGCCCGTCATCAATTAAATCTGCGCGGTAATTGCAAAGGAAGGAAGAAAACACGGCGGTGCGGCGCGAGGTTACGAACTTCACGAAACTTTGCGCACCACTTTTTGCTCGTCGCATTACTCGTGCAAAATCACCGTTTCGTTAATCGAATTGGCGTAACGAAACAACGAACGAGCATTTACAAAATATGTATAATGATAAATAACAATATAAATATTGTATGTATATAATATTGACAGATTCTGAAACGTGAAGATATCTGTGCTTCTGCTTTCCTATCGCGTGCACGAAAAAAATCGATTCTTTTATATTCCGAAAGATTTGATGACGTTTTGACATGGAAAAATTTTCAAGTTGACGAAACACTTCTGAAACACTGATTGAAAATTTTTGCAAATTATTGTCTTTCTATACGTTTTAATAAAAAAAATATTCGTTGATATTTATATCCATTGATATTTATATTGACATTTGTATTAAATTTATAAGCGGCAGAATGTCCCGCTAACCGCAACCGGGACATTTGTAAAAATTAATAATAATTTAAATAAAAATCGAAAGGTAAATTTATAAATAACTTGACATATAAACATACATGTATAAAAATCTTTCATATGAATTGTTAATAGCACCAATATTAACCTTTAGCAAAGTTTATTATCCTACACTTAATGTTACATAACCACTGGTAAAATTGAAGAAGCAGCAATGAGCGACAAATATCTCGACGATTACCTGCCAGTGATCGCGATTGACGTCGCCGTTGAAGAGAAGACGAGAATCGCCAAGATGGCTGTCGCGACCTTGCGCAAGCTGCACAACGTGATGCGGCAGATGAGAGATTGGCGGGAAGATAGCGCGAAACTGAAGAGTAATATCTGGCGGATGAAAATGGCTCTGCGTGCGGATGACAAGAATGGGAACGATAGCCAGCAGATCGATCCTTTGATCGTACATCAGAGAGCGGAGATTAGCCGGTTGGAGCAGGCGAACGGCGCATTAGAGAACGAAGTAACGAGCCTGAAATGCGCGCTGACGAAAGCCGAGGAAGACATCGCGCGTATCACCGTTCGCGAAATGGGCGATAAGATCGTGACGATCGGGAATGAATTCTCGGGCGAAAAGGAACACGCGAGCGACGAAATTCTCCGTCCAAAGGAGGACGAGACAGGCGTCACGTTGAGGCAATTCCAGGACAGGCTGGACGAGTTCGCGAGGGGTGATCGGACGATAGAAGTAATTTTCGCGAACGCGATCGGCAAAACCGTCGAGACGGTTATCGGCCTATCGGAGGAGCTCGTAAATGTCACCGAGAATCTGTATAGGTTTAAGAACCGAAACAAAAACCTGCGTCTCAAACTGGACAGATTGAGGGCCATGCTGCGATCCAAGTGCGGCAATAGCGCGGAATATCGGAGGAGGATCGGCGAATTGAATAATCTTGCGGAACAATTGATGGGGGAGATGGGCCGGTTGAAAGTTATTCGCGAGAATGCGAACTATAGCGAAAGTTCGAGCGCCATGGATATCCCGGACGTTGTTAGACACGTCGAGCGTTTGATGAACGACTTGAGGAACAATCTGAAGAGCGATCGCGAGGCGATGATCGCCGCTGGCGAGCCCGATTGTTTGAAATACATGAAGAAAGTTGTTAATTTGAAAGTAAATCTGAGGATGCTGTCGGTGGAGCTTAGGCGATCAAATGTGCCGATGGATAAAGGATCATGCGAGAATTTCCCGGGCGGGAGGAAATGCATGGAGACGGCCTCGCTGTTGGATGATTTGTTGAAGGAAATCGACAGCGAGATTGGAAAATTGAAGATAAAACCGATGGACAAATATTGCCGAATCGGCGGCGTCAACGGCACGCGATATATGACCAAAGTTGTAGAACTCGAAGATATCGTTAGGAAATCTATCGCGGTGATCGCCATCCTAAAACAGGCCTCGCCTGAAATTATAAATACCAATGAGAAGATAACGGAGGCACTGGAAGACTTGATCGAGCGACTGTGTTGCAAGATAAAGGAACTCGAAATTTTCGACGATCGCGCGAATTTACGCGAAAGAATCGCGCAGATGGAGGCTCTGATCATATATCTAAAATCGGAATTGTCGGAGAAGAACGAGAGTATAGACGCGCTGAGCGATGAACGCGCAAACATTAGATTAACATTAGAGAGCGATCGCAAGAAATATGAAAAGATTATCGTCGACGTGCGCGAGGCGAACGAAAGTCTTCGGGGGAGTGTAAAAAAGAGCAAACAAGAAATATTGGAGCTGTCGCTTAAACGCGATCATTTCGAACAGCGTGTCGCGGAAATGCAATTGATGAAGGTTGAAATTGATGCAGTGAGAAAAGAATTGCGGGAGCTCCGCGATGACAAAGGGATGTTATTAGGGGAAGTGGAAAAGATGCGTGGCGTTCTCCGAGAGAGGGACAAGGAAATTGAGAATATTATTACCCAGGGGGACGCACTGAAAGGGGTCTTGCGAGCCGAGGTGGAGGACTTGAAGACGAAACTTGGGATCACTTCCGACGAAAATGTAAAACTGAGAAGTATAATTGAGGGACTTGAGAAACAGAAGGAACACGAGCGGCTGGACAAATTGAAAAGTTCAGAGAAGGGAAACGGCGAGGAGGATCCTGACAATGGCGAATACTGTGCACGAAACCTCAGGGATGAATTAGAATACTCGAAAGCCGAGTCAAATGAGCCTGAAATAAGACTGAGCAAGGCGATGCGAATCGGCTATTTGAAGTGCGCATTGGATAAAGTCGCCGGTGACGGGGCCATGCCGGAGGATGAAATTTCCGATTTGAAGTCTAACGAGCAGTCGTTGACGTATCGATCGAACGTCCGGACGAGCTCCGGCAAGGAAACATTGAGAGAATACGAGAGAGTGATGGCGGGGTACAAAGCGTCGGAGAATAAAGTCAAACAGCTTCAGAACGAGAAAGAACAACTCGAGAAGGAGTTGTCGGAGTTGAGATCCGAAAAAGGATTATTGGATAGGTCGATGGCCGATGCCAATAACAAGTGCGCCGTGTTGCAGGATCAAGTTAACAAATTTAAGTCCGAGCGTAACGGCCTTCGGGGAAAGATAAGCGAGCACGAAGCTGCCGCGGAGAATTTAAAGTTCGAGTTGGAGAGAACGCGAGGGGAACTCGAAGATGCGGCCGTTAATGCGGCGCGCCTGCGATCGGAGAACTCGAGGATCGTCGCCGATTTGGATACGCTGTCTCTACGGAATATCGAGACCGAGGACCGTGTACGAGTGCTGTTGACAGAAAAGAACGAGTTGGCGACGCGTATTAACGAGCTCAATGATGAGAACGTCGCCCTGCGAGAGCAGTTGAATAAGGCGAAAGAAGAGAATGAATATTTTCCATGGAATTGAATAAATCAAGGGTCGAAAATGACAAAGCGAAAGCGGAAAATGCTCTTCTGCAGGCTACCTGCGACACGAGGGAGCGAGATAACGTCGAGCTGAGGAGGCAGAGGGACGATGCTAGAGGGAGAATAAATGAAATCGGTAACGAGTGCAGAGTATTCGGTAATCAACTGAAAATCCAGCGAATGAAGTATGAGGCGCTGCGGCTGGCCGTGGCCGCGTTGCGCGACGAAAGTAACGATCGTAAGAATTACTTAAGAAAGATCGATACGCATACGCATCCGCTTCACGAGCGGGGATTCGCCGACGCTTATAATGAGATTAACGAGCAGAAATTGGGTATCGCGTGTACAGGCATAAAGGCAATGAAAATTGATGAGCGGAGGAACGGCGAAACAGAAGTCAAAGTAGAATCTGATACATGCGCGGACCGTGATAACAAAGCGGAGATCAAAGACAAGCCAAAGGCCGAACTAAAGAGACTGAGAACCGAGAATAAGGCTTTGAAATTAGAGCAGGCGAATTTGCGGTCTGAAAACTTCGAGATTACGACGGGGCTGGCTCGTACGGAGGATAAATCCAAAAATCCGACGGAAATGACGACGGCAGACGAGGAAATCGTCGGTGCTATCTCGAAGAAATTCGAGAGCGCACCGAGTATCCGATACGAAAAAGGAGTAAGCAATTATCGTAATTATTCCGACAATCCGAAGATGTCCGAGCATAACGAAAGAATTGTAGCGCCCGATATCGATCACCAAGTCGGGAATAGGACGCTGGAAATGAAAGCAGATATCCTGCGCGATAGTCGCGACTCCGGCCTGATGAACAGCGAGAAAACGAAGGCCGACTTTAGCGGAACGATCGAGGAGATTCAAGCTTTGAAACTCGAGTTGATGAATCTGAGGGACGAGAAAGCGACATTGAGGTCGCAGCTCGAGATATTTAAGGAAGAATCGAACGCATTGAAATCAGAGAGGACAGCTTTAAAGGACGAGCTCGCCGCCTCGAGGAAGTCGAATTTCGATCTTAGGCTCAAAGTGAACGACCTACGAGGCGCTAACGAAAAATTGAGAGAGACGAATATGGGATTGGGGGATCGTCTGCAAGATGCATTAAGAGAGATGAATGAGTACACCGCGGTATCGGAAGTATCGGACGGAAAATTAAAAGATAATTTTGAAGATGCGTCAAGTGACAATCGGAAAAAGTATATCTTCGCGGAGAGAAATCTGCGGATAAACAGGCGAAATCGATTCGACTACGTCTCCAACAGAAATCCAGATCTACAATCCATCGAAAAGAATCTACAACATATAGAAGGACATAAAAGAATACAAAAGTCTTGAGATTGCTGAATATACATATCTTCACACAGTATTTACGTACACGTAGTAATTTACTAAATCTTTATTTATCGTACGTACTAATTAACACTATAAAATTATTTTCATTAATCTTAATTAGGAGAAGAAGTGATGAGAAAGTATTTTGCAAAAATAGCTTGGAACACATTAAATCGAAAAATGAATATAATTTTATTATACTTGGATAATTTATTATGCTTTGAATATATATATTTTATACTTCATTTAGTTTCTTTTGTTGTTAAAGGCTCCACGTAACCGCGACAGTTCTTCGAAAATTTATGAAGGCAACTCTCATGTTCTCTCAGCAAGCGGCAAGAATCGTTTTAAGAGCAACTGACAAAACCTCCTGAAAGCGTGCCGCTACTTCATCTTTTAGGAGTAGACGAGTAGTTAAAGCCAAACAGGACAATGACAACAGGAGCGTGACGGCGATAAGGATAAAGCGGTGTCGGTGGAGCGCGTAATAATGCATTAATCGCGCGCGCATGTCGGGCCATTATCGCATACTCTACGACTACGGCGTCACGTCGAAAATCCTCGTCTGAGATTATTTCAACAAAAACGTAAAGCTCGCTTTGCGCAGCATAGTCGGTGCTCATTTATCATTCCCATAGACCGGCAGAGTGCGATGTGGCACATTGCAAATGAGTGGATACTCCTCGGGCGCTCCTACAATTACATTCTTCTTCGGTCTTTGACTTCTGTATTCCGGATTAAACGGCCACAATTAAATCTCAATGAGGTATCTATCAGATTTTACTACTAGTTGAAGTTCGAAATAGATTGCGAAAATAACGTAATGGTATCTGGCGGCAGCGTACCACCGAATGTTATTTCGTTTAGACTGCGATCAATAATCACGTTTTGTAAAAAAAAAAAAAATTTTTTTTCGTTTCATCAAAAAAATTGTTTTATCTATAAAAAAAAAAAAAAGGGCCGCAATAACCGCGCGTACGTAAAGCTGATAGCTCAATTATGCTTCACGCGTAATTTTTTACTGCAATACGCAGACGGCATACGCGGGATAAAAGCGCGTCTGTACTCGATATGGAAACGCGTTCGGATGTACATATTGTAATATCTTCCGTGATAAATCAACTGATCGCGTGTAATAGCGTATACGTTATACCGGCGAAAAACATTGAATTGCTGTAACGACAGATGTTACAACAGGGGATACCTCTTTGTTTTGCGACTCCGCACGTGAGATACACGTTGATGCGAATTTTTGTCAGTAATCCCACATTTCCGCGCGGTTTAAACATCCGGATATTATAATTTGTGTATTATAATCCGCACGTCATATATGCGATCTGAAGTCAAACAGATATCTTTCGTGCTATTAATGAGATTAATTCATCCTTGCCAAATACATTATGCCAAATATGATACAATAGATTTGAGTCAAATATTTATTTCATCTAGTCTGTTCAGTTCATTAATAACGTATCGATGTAACTATGTAATTGAGATGAAAATAATTTTTCTCTTGTACAATGAAGAGATGTAATATTAATGACAATTATACTGTAACAGACTTGCGGATATCAATTTTTTATATAAAACCGCGAATGCATAAATAAAAGATAAAAAGCAATAATGCATAAGTTTTTTATTAAAATGAAGATTAAAATGGTCATTTCATATTTGAATAAATAATTTTATATAGTGTCTTCTGATCTATAAATATGAATATTTTCGAATACCGTCTGATGATGTACAGACAAAGGTGTTATTTTGAGTTTGTATAAAAATAATTTTATATAAAATTAAATTATTATTAATAAATCATGTGATTATAATTATATAAGGAAATGTTTTTAATCAAAAGTAATCGTTTTTAATTATTTATGAATTTATTAAGGTCAAAAGTTAAAAAATTTAAGAAATGCAAAAAGAGATTATATGTATTTAACAGAACAAGTGGCATTACTCGGCAGGCTAGATAATAATTTTTTGAATTTATATATAGATATATAATATATATCTATTATTTATACACATATATATGTATATAAAACATCATTTTATTTTTCATGCACAATAGTTAATAGATAATATTAACTTGATATAAATAAAAAATTAAGAAGTATTGATTTTCGATTTTTTAAAATGATAGATTTATTACTCAGTATATGTATTGTTGCACAATCAAAAAGGAAATTATTTCTTATGTCTAACACATAGTTAATTCAATTTTGAATTAGTTTCATTAATTCAATTTTGAAAATAATTATAAAAAAATAGTCGCGGATGATTCGACTGTATGAAGGTAAAGTTTTTCAAAGTTTATTATGAATCTTTGAGGAATTTCACGTTTGTAATTCAAATTAATTGGCATATCCTTAAAATTATTCTTCTTGTATTTATATGTTACGTACTTGTATGCACAGAAGTAAAAACAGTGAATGCAGATTGTTGCAAATAAAACGCAGTGTAAGTTGAGTTGCACAGTTAGATGTGTTTCGCGAACGCGTTCCATGTACTGTATGTCCATGGGACTAAACAGACTTTAATTGCGGGAAATCACTGTAATCACGAAACGCTGATGCAAGCTCGTTTTTTTCCCATCCCTTTTCTGCTGCCATCCCCGACATGACGTCACGAATGCACAGTAAATAAAGACAGAGTGATCGTTATTTCACAGGAACAGGAATTACTATATGTCGATTATTGATATTGCGAAAAAAATAGTAATGAGAAAAAAGATGAAAAAAGTAGTAATGATTGTTGTGATAGTCGAATTTTATTCAGGAAAATGTTTATAAATGTATAATGTTCATTTATTTGGCTGTTATCTGACCTGAACTTTTCAATAAATTGCACATATAATCGGATTT